ACATGAAAAAAGATGAGAATGAGTCAAGCTGGCTATTCTTGCCTATAATCCTAACACTCAAGAGTCAAGCAGGAGAATTCTACCCTGAGTTGGAGGAAATACATGCGGTGCGGGAGGGGGGGGAGCGAGAGAAAGAGAGAGAGAGAGAGAGAGAATATGAGAAAGAGAGGTGGGGAGAGTGAGTTGAATGTGGCTAGCTGGTTCAGTAGGTAAAAATACTTGCTCCCTGATGCAAGCCTGATAATGAATTCATGATCCACACAATCCACAAAAGAACCTAACGATGTGGTCCTCTGACCTCCATAAATGTGCCATGGCACACGGACACACACACACACACACATTCACATTATGAATGATGGTAATATTAATAAAGTAAAATAAAGTAAGAGAAGGAAAGAAAATCCATAGGATTACAACTGTGGAAAGTGCCTTGGAGAGTCATCAGAACAAGACAGGCGTAGATAAATAGTTTTTAACTTTTTGTTACCTTTCACCAATGAATGTTCTTACACTTACTTCCTTTGAGACAGAGTCTTAGTCTGTATAGTAGGCTGGCCTGGAACCATGTAGTCCAGGCTGGCCTTGAACTGGGAGCAACCCTAAGCCATGCCTAAGCCTTCACAGTGCTGAGGTTATATGCGTGAGCCACAATTCCCAGCAGTCTTTAGACTCCTTTTCCTAACCACTCCTCTTTTTCCCAGCTTGGGGTCATTACACACTATGCATGTGTTCTTTCACTAAGTTACACTCCTGACCCAAAAAGTCTGAAATTATATAATAAAAATGAATGGATATGACTCTTTGGAGAAATAAGTACCTGTATAAAAAAAATATTTAGCCCCCAAAGCAATTTTCAACTCCCTGGGGAATGATACCATCCTCACTGGAGACACCAGCAACAGAGAGAGAAAAGTCTCTGGAAGGAATCTTGATGAGGAATTACTTGAAAACTGACCTGACAAATTCAAAATCTTACTCAGGAAGGTTGAGAGAATACAAAGAACTCTGAGCAAAATGATCTTAAAGATGATTACTAACACACACACACACACACACACACACACACACACACACACACACACAAAGAAAGAAAGAAAGCCCTAGGATAAACTATATTTAGAAATAATACTGTAAACAGGGAATATTAACCAAAAATTATGGAAACTACACTAGGTGATGCAGAAAATTTAGAGTAAATAATTACCCCCTTCCTAAAAATTACCTAAGGCTTTATTAATTGTTAAAATTAATTAAAAGTCCTTATTGTTTAATTAGTTAAAACTGATGAAGACATGGATACCAACATATCCATAAAAAATGTGCTTATAAAAATGTGGTGGCTCACACCTTTAATTCCGCTCTCAGGGAACAGAGGCAGGTGGATCTCTATTAGTTTAAAGCCAGCCTGGTCTACACACGAAGTTCCAGGCCAAGCAGAACTACAAGTGAGATCCTGCCAAGACAGACAGACAGACAAACAGACAGAGAGGAAAAAAGGCTTAGAAAATGTAACACCAGGCTAGTGTAATGGCTCGGTACCTAGAGGCATTAGCTGTCAAACCTTACATCTAAGTTCAATTTCTAGGACCCACATTGTAGTAAGAAAGGAGCAATTTCCACAAGTTATCCTCTGACCTCCACTCTTGTGCACTCATACAGATACATGTAAATAAACACAATAAAAGAAATTCAGAGGAGCTGGATGGATGACTCAGCAGTCAAGAACACTTGTTGCTCTTGCAGAGGATCTGGGTTCAGTTCCCAGAATCCACATGGCAGTTTACAGCCCCAGTTCCAGAGGATGAATGCCTTCCTCTGACCTCCTTGAATACCAAGCATGCACCTGGTACACAAACATACATGTTACCAAAACACACACATAATAAATTTAAAACTTTTTTGAGAAAATATAACACCATAAAAAACAATAAAGAATCTGGTATGGAGGAGAACAGAACTGCTTCTTTCTGTCTTTTAAGCGATCTATGTGCATGTGTCATTGTTACCAAGTTTTAAAAAAATGTCGGAGGGGACCTTAGAGATCAAAAGTACTTTCAGTACAAAAACATATGTTTGTACACCAGAAAGCCTGGGTGGAAGATCAAGAGTTGGAAGCTAGACTGAGCTACACGGTGAGCTGAAGGTCAGCCTTCGGAAACATACTGTGGTAGTTTGAATGAAAATGGGCCCCAAGGTTCACATATTTAAATTCTTAGCCCCTAGTTGGTAGAACTATTTGGGAAGGATTATGAGGTGTGGTCTTATTGGCAGTGCGTCACTGGAGAGGGATAGGGAACATTGTGGATTCAAAAACCCATGTCAGGTACAGTCACTCTCTGCCTCATGGTTGTGCCTCAAGATGCATAGCTCTCAGCTACTGCTCCAGTGCCATACCTGCATGCTTGTTGCCATGCTCCCCAACATGATGGTCAGGAACTCATCCTCTGAAACAGTAAGCAAGACCTCAACTAAATGCTTTCTTTCTTTTATAAGTTTCCTCGGTCATGGTGTTTTTTCATTGTAAAAGAAAAGCAATTAAGACACTTAGCAAGACCCTGTCTCCAAAAACAAAAACAAACAAACAAAAAAAAAAACAAAAAAACCCCATAAAACCTCAAAACTACTTTCCTATATGATAGACAATTCCTCTTTGTATCCCCTTAGTCCTTTGGCATACCAGATAAGCCATCTCTACTACATTCATTATGGCTGTAACATTATAAATCATAGTCCACTATGATTACTGATTAATGATGGTCCTTTACTACATTATAAAGTGTGCCTTATATATTTCTCTGCATCATGCAAAGTGCACAACAGAAAATCAATAAATCTGAAAACCAAACGTTAAGCTTAGCAGTGCAGGCTTGTCAAGAGGATGAGACAAGAGGACTGTCACAAGTTCCAGGAAAGCCAGGGATACACAACAAAACCCTGTCTCAAACAAAAAAAAAAAAAAAAAAAAAAAAAAAAGAGAGAGAGAGAGAAAAGGAAGGACAGGAAGGAAGGAGAAGGAAGGAAGGAAGGAAGGAAGGAAGGAAGGAAGGAAGGAAGGAAGGAAGGAAGGACCATATGTAAAATAGATTCAGAGAATCTGCAAGTAGTTATACTCACCTAAAACCCTAGCACTTAAAGGTAGAGGCAGGAGGATCACAGAGTTCAAAAGCACCATCAACTACACAGAAAGCTTGAGGCCTTTCCTCAAGAAAGAACTGTGAGGCTGGGTGTGGTGGTGCACGCCTGTAATCCCAGCACAGGTGGAAGAGGCAGGCAGATCTCTTCTAACTGGGAGGCCAGCCTGGTCCACACAGGACCAGCCAGGGCTACCCAGAGAAATAGTCTTGAAAAACCAAAAAGAGAAAACACACACACACACACACACACACACACAAAAAAAAAAAAAAAAAAGGAAGAACTGGGTGTGATGGCACACACCTTTAATTCCAAGGCTAAGGAAGAAGAAGAAGTGTATTGCTATTGAGTTCTCAAAACAAACAAAAAATATAACAATGGCGTTGGGCAAAGAAGAAAACAGGGAAAGGAAAGGAACATAGAGAAAGAGAGAAAGAGAAAAGGGGGACAGGAAGGGGTTCGAGAGAAGATCAGACCAGGAAGGAGAGAACAGGGAAGGGGATGGAAGTGAAAGAATCTAGTCGGGTTCATGTTTTCAGATGAAACAAAGCCTCACAAAGTCAGTGGCCTGCCTCAGTCCCCGATTAACTCAGAATTTATGGTATGAAAGCTTAACACACTAACATCTGAGTACTTGCCTGACTCCTACAACACCGACGACCAAAAAAAACAAAACAAAAAACCCAAAACTCAAATTCTACCATTTCTCAGGTAAATCTTCAAAATTTTGCATCACATTAAAATACATTGTGCCAGAAACTGATTAGACGTGAATCTAAAAATTCAAATTCTTTTAATTGGTATAACCGCTCGGTGGTGGGCTCAATGACTAGTATGTTTAAGGCTCTGGAACAAATTCAAGCACTATAAAATAAAAAATTAAATGAAATTATCAAGTTAATCCATGTTGCTGGAATTAAAAGTAATGGCAAAGAAAGGTATGTCAGACTAAAACACAGTAATTCAGCACATATTTTTATGCATACAAACTTAGAGACCAAATGGTAACCTAAAAGCTGCCACTAAGTCCTCTGTATATGGTAGAAAGATCTGTATTCGTATTATTATTATTAGTGAGGGTGCATGTATGCCACAGAGCCTATGTGGAGGTCAGAGGACAACTTTGTACAGTCAGTTCTCTTCCACATCCCCATGAGTTCTGAGACTCAAACTCCAGTTGTCAGGCTTGCATGGCAAACACCTTAGCAGCTGGCCTTCACTGGTACAGGAAGATCTTTAGCTATATAATTAGGATGTGTAAGTGTCAGAATATCAACTGTACCAGCCTAAGAAAATTTATGCTCTTTTTAAACAATTTTTAAGAGACTGAGATTGTAACTAGATGACATATTTTTAACACTTTCCTTTTAAGAATTCACTCCATGTATTTTTAATAAGACTTTTGGACACCGGAAAAGATAACATCAAATATTAACTCATTCTACATATTCATACATTATTTTCCTTGTCAGTCTTATCATGAAAACATGTACTTACTACCTAAACTGGTTTAAAGTATCTAAACTATGTCTTTATACCTACTTTATAAACATTTCCACTTAACACCAAGCAAGAGTAAAAGTATAACATGCTTTTCATTTAATAACAATATTAAATCATATAAAAAAACCTGTTATCTACTGTTAGTTTCCTCATGAAACACTGATTACCCTAGGTTATTTACTACAAGGTGCTGGACTAAAAACAAAGAAGTTCCTGGAATGTCTTTCAGCACCGCTCTGCGGGCCCAACTCCAACACCCTGAAAGCACTAAAATGTTTGGTTAAAAGGTCTCCAAGGTGGAGAATTATTCTCCTAATTTAAAAAAATTCATTTAAGAAATCATAACAACATTTGTTACATACCACTGATGTTAAGGTCATAATCTCCCGCTGTAATCACATTAGCGACTAATCCTTCTGCAGGCTGGCTGCCAGAAACGACATCATTCAAAAGCTTCCCAATGGCTCCCGGCTGAGGTGGCTGGGTGACAATGTTGCTTACTGCTATCTTCAAATTTTTAATTATATGCAGTTGATTATTAGGATCTCTCATGTGAACTTTTAAAAAAGAGAAAGAAATTTTAAATTAACTTTGTATAATGCATCCTAAACTAAAACTGAGTTAATAGTTTTCAAATACAAAAGAAACTCAAATCAGAAACTAAGAACTAAAAGAATATTCTTCCAGAATACAACTGGTTTACATTTTCCCTTACAAACCAAAAGAAATACCTATTAATCATAAACCTCCTTCCTCTTTGCCAGCACATGCCTACAATCCCAGCACCTGAAAGACAGAAGCAGGAGGATCAGGAATTCAAGCCCACCGCTACAAGAGACTGTCTCAAATAGGAAACCATTCCTTCTACTCACACAATGCTACTGTTCACAATTTCTCTATAGGTCCTGTTTCCCCTGCATTCAGTGTTGTCCAAAACCACCACCTGTAAAGTCTCAGGCCCCTTTATGGCTTGAGGCAGGGTGTTTGTATGAAGCATGAGTGGCCTTGAACGTACAGTGATCCTTCTGCCTCCAATGTGCTGGGATTCCCCACAAACATTTATACAACCTGGCTCATTTATAATTTAATCAGTTACAAACTACATTTCTTATACTTCCTCAGAAACTTCGAAAATTTTAAAGTTAAAAACATAAAAGCTCATCAGATGTAGAAAACATACCTACAATCCCAGAATTCAGAAGGCATAAGCAGGAGGATTATTTTGAGTTCCAAGGCAGCTTGGTCTACATACCATGTTCCAAGCAAGCCAGGGCTGCACACATTTCAGAGGCAGAGAAGAAAAGACTATAAGAAACTAAAATATTACTCGGGTATTGTGGCTCATACCTGAATTCAAGCACTTCAGCAGCTCAGGCTAGAGGAATGCCTTGCTATAAGTTTAAAGCCTGCCCAGACCACAAAATGAGGCACTGTTTCAACGAAAAATTAAGTGCTAAATAATAATAAAATATCAAGATAGCATATGCCATAAATATTTGCCTCATTTTGTAGTCTGGACTGGCTTTGAACTTATAGCAAGGCATTCCCCTGGCTTGAGCTGCTAGAGTGCTTGAATTACTGGCATGAGACACCAGAGACATCATAATAGAAACAAGAGAATCCTGGGATACTTTACAGGCCAGCTAGATGCACATGCAGGGGTGAACACGGAGGCCCTAGTTCAAATAAGGTGGAAGGCAAGGACAGACACCCAAGATTTTCCTCTGCCCTGCACACACACATGCCATGGGCACACTTATGTACATGTACACACAATGATTTAAAAAGATGACAAGTTTACATGTGCTAGCTGAATAGTGAAAATGAGTACTGTATTCTCTGTATTTGTTTATGATTGTTGTTTTGTCATTGGTCAGTTAAATATACACAGACCTCCCTCAATAATTAAAACTTCCCAACTGTATAATTATGACATAGAAAAGGGGAAAGGGAAAAGGCGGGGAAAGAGGAAAAAATAAAGGAATAGACAACTGCCAGAGTACTATGTCATACCTCTGAAATCTTTAGGAACATATTTTGCATGTATTTCCCTTATTGTTGGTTCCATAACTGTCAAATACTATAAGCAACCAAATATTTAGTAAACCTTTCTTTGAGATTTGGAAACAATGCTATAGTTTGCTTATCCTACATACCCCAGGCCCTGTATACAAACTAGAAGCGCACGTGCGCGCGCGCGCACACACACGCACACCCTCACTTCAAAACCATGGAGATGAATTAATTACCTAGTTACATCAACATAGTAATAGCTGTGAATTAATATTGTCAGCTTGACAGGCTCTAGAGTCATCAGGAGGCAAACCTGAGTATGCCTGACAGACAAGGAGATTCTACATTGAATTCAGGGAAGTGAGAGGCCCATCCTGAATATGGACTGCATCACATCATAGGTTCAGGTCCTGAGCTGAACAAAAGGGAAAATGAGCTGAGCATTCACTCATCTCTCTGGTGACTGTGAATGTAAGGTTACCATCCAGCCTCCTGTTTCTGCTACCATGTCTTCCCACAAACTGTCAGGCAAAATAAACTTTTCCTCTTTAAAGATGTTTTTATCAAGCCAGGAGTGGTGGCACACACCTGTAATCCCAGCACTCTGGGAGGCAGAGGCAGCTGGATCTCTGAGTTCCAGACCAGCTTGCTCTACAGAGTGAGTCCAGGACAGAAATGACAGGCTACACAGAGAAATCCTGTCTCGAAAAACCAAAACGTCATAGCAATGAAGAGAGTAACTAACTAACAGGACACTGATAGCAGAAGCAGAACTTGTGGTGAAGAACCTGACCATGTGATTGATTGCAAGGCTTCTGACATTCTTCACAGAAGAACATCGAAAAGCTTAGAACTTTGGGCTTTAGAAAGCCACAGACTGAGGCTGGAGAGATGGCTCGGCAGGTAAGAGCACTGACTACTTTTCGAAAGGACCTGGGTTCAATTCCCAGCACCCACATGCAGCTCTCTACTGTCTCTAACTCCAGGATCTAATGTTCTCACACAGATAATGCACATAAAATAAAAATAAATAACTTATTTTAAAAAGAAAAAAGAGAGAAAGCCTTAGAAGGTTGTAAGAAGAGTTTAACAGGCCATTCTGGTGGGAATTTGGAAAATCAGATTGCCAAGAAAAATATTAACGCTGGAAGCCTTGTTTACAGGGTTTCAAAGAGGAAGGAGTCCACTCCGAAGTAGGTTAGCGGCATTCCTGTTAAATTCTAACCAAGACCCTGGTTTCCTCTGTCTTTGGCCTGAGAACTTCAGTGACGTCAAGTTCAAAGGTAATAAACTAATTTAGTTGGCTGAGAAAAATTTAAGCCAGATAGCATCCTGCATCCAGGCTGTGTCCTGATTACTGCTTACTGCTTTTACCCAGGTCTACAGTGAGAGACAACAAGTGAAGCGAAATGATGGGAAAATGTGCCATTTGTTCGGAAAAGGGAATTTAAAGCTAAAGACAACATGTCAGCAAGATGATTCAGCAAGACATTTTCTGCCAAGCCTGAGACTGGTTTGATCCCTGGATTGTAACATTTTGGAAGGAAAGAACCAACTTATAAGATCCTCTGACCTCCACACAGGCGTGGGCGCGTGCGTGTGTGCGTGTGTGTAGTGTATGTGTGCGCTCCAGACAGGCCACAATGGTAAGAAAGAAGATGTAATCATATAGATAGATAGACAGACAGACAGACCGACCGACCGACCGACCGGCCACATTCCAGAGAAACCTATCTCAACTGAAAAGCCAGGAAAAGTGCCTAGAGAGCAACTTCACCCTTTTAGTACTACAACTTGAGAAAACCCAAACTCCTTTAAAGGAGTCTAAACAATGCTGCTGAAAGAGTACCCTGCTCTAAAACAACTCTAGGGAAAATTATCTCCCCAGAGTCATCTTGGAAGACACAGAGAACAATTCAACTCTGGTCCAGGAGCCTAAGTACATCTCAAGCTGGCAACACTTGGCATCATACACATGGTACCAGCTTTACAGGCATTAAAGTTGAAACAAGTGTTAAGTGGCATGGAAGACCATGCCAAGGTTCTAAAATGCCCCTGAGGCAGGGCAATATGTGACAGGGTTGGATTCCCCACTGTGTGAAGCAGGGAAGTGACAGCCTAAGCTGCACTGGGAGGTTCTGGCATGCCACGGAAGGCCGGGAAAATGGGGCATCTGCTGAGAAAAGCTACAGGAATGGGGTGAAACTGCTTGAAAGACTGTATGAGCTGCAGGTGGCAGATCAGGAAGGGTGGGGCTATGCAAGCCATCTGGAACACAAGTCCAGAAACCCAACAAGGAGTTTATGATTTGATGTTTGCCCTGCTGGGTTTCAGTGCTGCATCAGTCCAAACTGTCCTTGTTACACTCTTCATTCCTCCCTTTAGAAGTGGAAGTGTTTATTTTATGTCATACCATATTGGAAGTAGGTAACCTGTTATGTTTTTTTTTTTTTTTTTTAATAGGAGTTTATGTGAAGACATCATCAGAGTTTCAGAAGAAACTTTGCACTTAACTTCAGAATAATATTGTACTGTTAAAAGCTTTAAGGGCTTTTGATTTTAGACTGAATGCATTCTATATTATGAAGTACCTTTATGTGTCTATAGAGACAAAAGGTAGAAGGTTATGGTCTAAAAGTGATATATTTGGGCACTGGAGAGACAGCTCAGTGGTTAAGAGCACTAGCTATTCTTCCACAGGGCTTGAGTTTGATTCTTGGCATCCACACAGAGACCCACAATCATCTATACCTCCAGTCCCAGGGGATCAGTCAGCCTCACCTAATCTCGAGGGCCCTGTATGCACCTATGTGTGCATAAACAAACTTACAGGCAGTCATAAACATAAAATAAAAATAAGGATTAAAAAATTTTAAAGTGATATATTTGGATATCAGGTTGACAAGGGAAAGACAGATGAGTGGTAGTCTGACAATACTGACAATCAACTTGACAGGATCTCAGGTCATCTAGGACACAAACTTCTGGGCCTGACTCTGAGGGAATTGATAGACTGAATTAACTAAAGAGGGAAACCCCACTCTGAATATGAATGGCACCATCCCATGAGCTAGGGTCTCAGAAATGAAGAAAAAGGAGAAAGATGAGTACCAGTCTCTGCTTCCTAACTGCAGATATGACCAGTTAGCTGCCTTGTGTTCCTACTGCCATGCCTTCCCACTGTGATGAACTGTACCCTAAACTAAATAAGTCAAAATAATCCCTTTTCCCTAAGTTGTTTTTGTCAGGTGTTTTGTCACAGCCATAGAACAGCAATAAGAACAGCGCTAAGATGAAATGCTTTTGGTTTGGGGTATGTCACTCAGAAAGGTTTAACCCCCGGATATCAAAAGGAAAAAAAAAGGAAAGTTTATAAGTAAAAGATATTTAACCTAAAAATGGATTATAATGGTTATAACAAAAAAGAAGTGGAGGCAAGAGGATCAGGAGTTCAAGGCCAGCCTGACCTACACAAGATCTTATCAAGGAAGAAGACAAAAGAAGACAGAAAAAGGAAAATGAGGAAAACGAAATGAGAAAGGAG